AAATAAACTGTAGGGAAATAGATGTAAAACTATAATGTTTACACAACAAAGAATGCAAATGACATATAAGGGGTACACAAAGTATTTTAGGTAAAATTAGCTTATAAGATAGCTAAAAACTTATAAATTTGCTAAAACTTACAAGCTATAAGTAAGAAACTGAAAACTTATAAACTAATGGATTGAATTGAAAATGTTTAATAAGAATAATTGATAACCTAACTGGTAAATATAAAATAACATAAAATTACATATTAAATTATTTGGTCAAACTAATTTATAAATTCTTTACGTTTTGTCAAATAAACTCGTAATAAAATTCTTTGGGAGGGAAAAGAAGAAGTGTCATACCCCTTGGCTCTTTGGAACAACACACATGTGCCTGAGTCCATGTTGGCGGAAAATAACAGCAGCTTTGGCAAGTGACATTGTCTCAACCACAGTGTAAGGGGATGCATTAGTGATGGGATGGAGATCAACATACATATCCATCTCTTCCTCTTGGATATCAAGATCCTCTAGCTTGATCCCCTTTCCTGACCCTGCCTTTCCAAAATCCAAAGAAGAAATTATGTGCAAGATGCTTTCTGAAAAACCCCTATTTCTTGAAAAAATCTTCTCCTTCAGCAACACTAGCAAATGAGACCTCAGCACAAGTCCACACAATTCTGGTGCATCTGAGAAAGGTGGTTCATCAATGACTGGAAACCCATTGTGCCTTGTAGCATTCAAAGCATGCAATATATTCCCCACCTTTTCAATGCCAGAAAAGGTTATCAATGGACCTGAAAGAACATCACGCGTAACCAAATTCCGCATGTAAGGTTCTGCATGAGCCTCCAAATAAGGAAGTCCTTTGATCTTAAGTATTTGATCATAGACACCCTTGTTGAAGTTGTCAGCCACAGTTTTTGAGACTAACAAGACCAACATCACAAGTGGAAGTAACAAGAGATCATTGGTGAGCTCAAGCAATATGACACAAAGAGACACCGTCATTCTCATGGTGCCACCAAGGAAAGAGGCAGCTCCAAGTAGGGCAAAGAGTCCTCTGTCAAGCTTGGTCATTGATTCAACGAGCCGGCCAAAAAGCCGGCCATAGCAAGCACCAGCAAGTATCACAGGAATGAAGAGCCCGGATGGAATGGCGATACCATAAGTGATTATGCCAAGAAAGTAAATAGTAGCAAAGTAGATAAACAAACTAGAAATGTGAAACTCTTTGATTATTCTGGGGCTGAATAGATTACGAATAGCATCATCATTTGTGTTTAGGAAGAGGGAGGCAAGATCATTGTAGTAGCCTGGTGGACATTGAAAACTTTTGTATTCTCCAGACTCATCCAGAGAGGGGCAGCTCACTGTTGAACCAGAAGGACATGGACTACAGTTTGCGATCCATGGCAAGAAGTAAAAACAACATGATGTTAAAAGTGCAATTGTCACAACAAGAGAGATTTTGAAAGCTGCACCTTTTCTGCCACAACACAAATAAAAGGGTTATTAGTTACATTGATAACACATTATAGGCTTAATTGCACTTTTTGCACCTAATGTTTGAAATTGTATATTTTGCCACTCTATTAGTTGAGTGTTATATTGTTAGTTAATCATTAATGTGACACATCGACTGCTGATGTGACACATGTCATGTCATTATCCATAAGTCACGTTAGTACTTTATGTTAATAGTCAACATATCACGTAAACGACCAACATGCCACATAAGCAGTCAATGTTTCATATCAACGGTCAATTAACAACATCAAATGATTTATTAATGGAATGAAAAAATAAGTGAAAATTTGAAAGTTGACAAAATTCGCAAAATCTTAATGGATGGTAAAAAGTGCAATTAAGTCTGCATTATATTAGACTTCAGAGAAGGTATGATCCATAACTGATAGTAGAAAACAGAAAGTAAATGATTAAGAACTGTTTAACATTGAACGTAAGGACATACTCATTGATGACGCTATATGTCCGAACAACCTTATCCACAAGGTAATTATATATGCTTCCAAGGATTCCAGCAATGGCTCCCAAAAGAAGTACTGCTAACATGTCACTAACACTATATGTTATATTGGGTGAACTAACATCATACATTATCAGACCACCTTCCCCAAATAGCCCACATTTCCCTGTGGCACAAAACTGAATTGCAACTCTTAAAACAATAGCTACCACTGCTGTTGTGAAAAATGTCCTCCATAGAAGAGAACTCCGCCACCTGAAGGTATGTCCCGTTAAAAAAATGTAGTTTTCCATAATGACTATAATTTACTGATACAAATCCAACAACAAAATTCGTTTATGCTTTTGGCATCAACTCTATCCTCTATCTTGTCATGCAGTTAAAGATCATTAGACTAAAACCAAAAAACATGAAGCAGAGAACCTTTTTTTAAAATCTTTTAAAAGTAAATGGTGATGGTGTATACCCTTTATTCATAGCATAAATATTTGAGAGTACACAACACATCAAGTAAAAGATATATTATGTATACATCATATTCCACTTGTCCATAGGAAAGACACAGTTAATGAATTCACCGATCATTCTATCCATCATCAAACACAATGAAGTTATTCATGAATTCACTGATTGTCATGCCAATTAAATTTTGTTAAGTACACTAACGTCAACTCCATATGATAATCGGTTAACTTCCTGCTTTCATTTCAATTTTTATTTCATAAGAAGACTGCTAATAATTTTCCTGCTATGTAATCCTAAAATCTTAGAAGTTACTCTTTACACACTAACGATTACACATTCATGGTTATCTCATCACTATTATTGTCATTTCACTGCTGTTTTTCAATTAACATCTTATGTTCTATGTTATAAAGAGTTGCAATACACTAACAATGTAAACTAATCTTACACTGACAACCAAATAAATATCATCATTAGAATGACTTCTTACTTATTTATTATAAAAGTTAACAACTTATCATAAATGGTAACTAGATATTAGATGACAGTGTAAAACTACTTTACACTATCAATGCATCACCAATTTCTCTATTATAAAATAGGCTTAATTGTACCTTTTGCTAACCATATTTCACAATTTTGTGAATTTTACCACCAAACTTTCAAAATTTTGCAAATTTTGTCACCCATTAGTTGACCATCTAATGTTGTTAATTGATTGTTGATATGACATGTTGACTACTTACGTGATATATTGACTACTAACATGACACATTGACCGCTAATGTGGTGTCACATCATCATCAATTCACGTTAACGGGTCACATGTCGTACTATCAATTCAATTCATAATGTGAGAGAATCAACTAATTGGTAGCAAAATTTGCAAAAAAAACAGAGAGTTGGTGACAAAATTCGCAAAATCATGAAAATGTGTGGCAAAAAGTGCAATTAAGCTTAGTAAATAATATTGTTTCTGCTAAATATTGGAGATTGTAGAGAATTCATTTTATCAGAATCGGAAATTTACAATCTGAGATACCAAGAGGTTGGGTGAGAAAGAGTAATTTTAGCAGAAATAGATACCATGAAGCTGCCTCTTCAAGGGCAAAGAGAACACCACCTACTGGTGCACGAAAGGCAGCAGCAACACCAGCAGCTGCACCACAAGTGATCATGTCTCGTCGGTCTGGATCATTTTTGAAATATCTAAGCCAAGGGCAAGTCAAGTGATACTTGCGAGATCCACCCTGCCCCAATAAAGAAGCTATGCATGCCCCTGTATGTACCATAGGTCCCTCTTTGCCCACCACAAATCCAGCAGAAACTCCCAAGATGGAACCAAATATCTGTCACAGATAGAACCAAATATTTGAATGTATTAGGAATGAAACAATATAAGCTAAGTGTCGCGGTGATCAAAATGTTATGAAGTATGAGTGGAAATACAAGATAAATCATCAATGAATGTATAAGAGACAAAGTTGAAGTAGACTAATGAGGAAAAGATATTGAAGCTGATGGAACTTGGTAGTAGCACTTAATGAGAAAATGATGGAAGTCGCACTATCAGAATAGATTAAGGATCCTTTGTTTTAGTACCTAGATATTGAAGATGATACCATGTCAAGAAACAAATTCACCCCAAAGTTTAAGTGTAGGCACTGGAATAGGTTTTATCTCTAACATTTTGGTATAGATAGGTGTATCTTTTCCATATTATTTTGCAGAAACGCATGTATATAAGGTATAAAAGCAGTAAAAGAAACACAAAAAATGTCACGATAAATAGTATATTTATACAATAGCCTATCTTGAATAATTAAGAAATTGTTTCAACTTTCCCCTTGGCAATAATATCCCCTGCATCAAACCATTTTCAAGAAGAAAAAAAATATAATAAAAGGCTTACTCACAGGATAATATTCACTCTTCCCTAAATTCTTTCATCTGAAATAGAAACCTGATAGTTTGGCTAATTTTCATTCGTTCAATTCAAGGAGTTCTTCAATTTTTGTCTGTGTGCTTTGGAGAAGTCAAAAAGAATGAAAGAGGAGGTAGAGTAGCTCCTACTATTGTAGTATTATTCACCTTTACAAAAAGGGTGCTTGGAGCCAGTATATGGTGAGCATCCACGCCATTGAGATATGCTTTCACCTCTGGAATGCCAGAGCCTGCAGCTGCTGGCGCAATGAAAGCACAAAGTGCAGCAGCTGCTGCTGCTAAACATATGTTCACACCAGCATATGCTAAAAATGCCTCAAGATATCTGCACTGGAACTACTAATCTGTGAGAATATATGAATAGTTATGCCAAATGTAAAGAATTACATATCAAGGATTAGTGATAACAGGTAGAAAACAATTTCAACCAAGATCCCAACATAATTTCTACAAGGATTTCTTCATTAAATTGGTGAATTATTAGCTTATACATAAGTTAAAAAAATGTTTTTGAGGAAACTAATACGAGAGTTTCTAAATTAGCTTATGGAGAAACTATTTTCATTTTTCTTTCATATTTTCTTCTCTTATTAGTATTTTTGGAGAAGTTTATTCAAACAAGTCTTAAGCAGTAAACAAATGCATCTAGTTGGAGCTAGGAGCAAGCTCACCTGTGTTTAGAGATGAGATTGGTGGTCATAAGCAACTTGAAACCAGCTATGTTCTCAACTGCAAAACTGTTAAAGAAGCCAACCAATCCAGTTCCTAATCCAATAAGAAGAGCAAATACCCACTTAAGCATCACATACTGGATTATCTCAACCTTCTTCCTCGAACGCCAGTCCTTCTTCAATATTTCATTATCAAAAGTCCTGAAATTAAAGAACAAGTAATCTGGCTCCATTTCTCATTCCTTCAGAACTTGACTTGCCAATGCAATCAAAACAATTCTGGAGTTCTTGCTATTTGTAATTATGATTAGTTCAAACATAATTATATGACTGCTATGGAAACTCAGAAAGTGTTAGATTCCTACTTAAAATCAATTTGCACCAAGTGAAGCTACCTAACATAGATATAAGCCACACCCCAAGAATTAAAGCAAGCTACGTGGGACTTTCCGACTAATGTAGAATATTTAAAGTAGAATGATGCAGTGTTTGATTAAATAATAAACTTAAAACTTACCATTCATGAACCATTTTTTATATATACAATTATATTGTTTCCATTTTATATAAGTAAAATATAAATCTAATTAACAAAAAAAAACTCTAAAGTTCATCTCAAATTATAAATTTATATTTATATTTTAAAAAAGAATTTTTATTTTTTATTTTTTTATATTCTCTCTTTCTTGTAACTATATGTAGTCATATTTTTCTTATTTTATAACAAGTATTTTTAAACTTTTATATTAAATCCTTATTTTTATAATTAGTTATAAGAGACATTTAACTTTTTAACTATTTTAATTAATATTTAAATTTATTCAAACAATGTTAATTATAATAAAATATTTATAAATCATATCAAAATAATAAAATTAACACATACAAAAACATATGCATATATTTTATATTTTAATTAATTGTATCATGTTAAGAATAAAATATTTTTCTCAAACACCTTTTAAATTTATAATTTTTTACATTTCATGTATATTTACAAATCTTCATAAAAAACTCAAAAAATTTATCATATAAAAATTTTAATTTAATAATTATGATCATAATATTAAATCAAACTAGATTTTTTTATAAGTCAATTTTATTCAAATTAAAATCATATTTAGCATAATAAGATTGGTTTTTTGATAAGTTTTTTTTTTCAATATACAAAACTCGAAGACAATATTTCTTAAAGAAAGTAAAACATGCTATAGTTTATTTTAATTTATAGTACTTTATTACTCACATTGCTTTCTTAATTTCTTTACCATAAAACATCTTAATAGCGTATTTTATATGTTTAAATATTTAGAGTAATGTTTTTTTTTAGTTAGAATTATGTTCCCCTTGAATGAAAGAGTATAATGCAAATTTATGTGATTCTCGAAGATACACTATAAACTTTCATATCACATTAAATTTTATCTTAAAATTAATTAACATTAAGTATAATTATCTAACAAATGTATAAGTCAGATTCCAAGAATTGAGATAGGTAATATGAACTTCCCAACAGGAAAAAAGAAACACAAACATGGAGAAACATAATAGAATCTGACACTAACTATAGTGGAAGGCATGATAGATGTAGACACCCCTTTGGCCAGCATTCAAAAGGAAGAAATGTTTAAATTAGTAAAAGACTTTCTACTCCCAGTATAATTGAGTATAGGAAGTAGAAAAAATGAACTGATTGCACAAATGTTCCTAAAAATGGGCTCTTTTTCAATCAGAATATTTTACTTGGTTTTTGATAGAAAACAATGACATTGGGTAATTTAAGAAGTTGACTCCACCTTGTGGGAAAATTCTTTGTTGTTGTCACAGAAGTGGTGTGTTAGCATGTTTTGGATCTATGATAACAAAGAGTTGGGGGGAAAAATGCTCACTTTTTGAAAAAGAGAGCCACCAAAATTAACTCAATTTTTTTTTGTTACAATGGGACTAAAGGCCCATACTAAAAATCACAAAAAAAGGAAACTGTTGAAATATCAGTTAAAAACGGTATTTGAGACTAATGAGGAGGTCTGAAAAAGATTTTTGAGTTCTCTGGAATAGTTAGACTCTTTTGGTAAAACCATCTGCAACTTAGTTTGTCTCCCTGTGGGAACATGACATCCCTGGTAGTCGACCATCTTTTTAATCATATTGACAAGTCCATAGAGAGGGTGACTTCTGCTATTTGACATCCTTAGTTAAGGAAACTAACTGTTAACGTAGAGTCAAATTCTATCTGAAGAATTACTTAAATACTTTTGTCACTAAAGAGCTGACGCCGTGATAGATACCCCAAAATTAACTCAAATAATAGATAGAATATTAAACCCAAATTTGGTATATTTAGATGCACCAATAACATACAATAAATATTAACAAGTAATAACACCCTCTTTGTTTAACTTTTTTCACCACTACTGTGGAGCCCCCAGGTTATTTAGACTAGTGATGCCCACTTGAAATTCTCTAAAGAAAAAAGTTAACTATATGCTCCCTATATGTATAGTAGATTCTCAATTTGTTCTTATATGTAAGTATTTATTAGATCAGTCCTTATATGTAAAAAATATTATTGATTTACTCTGTGTCACAGTTAAAACAAAATAGTGAGCTTAAGACCAAAATTTAAAAGAAAGAAAAGAGGAAGTTGCATACTCATAGTCAAGGCTTTCAATAGGGCAGAGGTTGGCACCAACTATAGCAATTTGGGAGGTGGTGTTAGTCCTCTTCACAAGAAGTGGCTTTGAATGAGCCATGTTTCTATCAGATAACCCTGACCCTGACCGATACCTTCCAATTTCCTCATTCACATCTTTTTCTATGTCATGCTCATAATCACTGCTGTTTACCCGATCCTCTTCATTCATCTTCTCAACTCCTTCACCAGTTGGTGCCATGCTAGCTAGGAAACTAATTCACATCAGTCAGAACCTGTAACAAACATGTGGTGGGATCAAAGTGCCATGGAAGTGATGGAACATTCAACACTAAAAAAAAACTGATCAAAAAGTGAGTTCTGTAAAAACTAGCATTAACTAACTTATATAACTAACCAGTAACCACTAACAGAAAAATCTTAAGTCTCCTGAAACTCTAATACAAATCATGTCATCAACCATAGCTTTCATCATTTTATAGCTGTGAATACTAATTTTGATTTTGAACCATAGTAAGTCCACTGAAAATTGTTGATATTCTGGAAATTGTTGGATCATCAATCACATGAAAAGTTGACTCTTTCAACAAAATAATGGCTCCCCAACCCAGTGAATCAAATATGTTCCCAAATTCAAATAAAACATGACAATTAAAATGAAAATAAAAAGCAAAAACAGTTTGGGCAAGATAGAAGTATCAGAGTTTGTGGTCTTTACGATAATCAATGATGCCCTTCTTCTATTCTGGACCATTTCCTACTCAGAACTGCCATCTGTAATAGACGTGCTTGTAATATATCTAATCAATAAACAATTGAACTTATTAGTAACTTCCATTATTAATATGATACAGAAAATTGTTTAAAAATAAATGACTTTTAATAGTATGTTTGTTTTGACGTTGAAAACACATAAATATCCATTTAATCCAAAACAAGACTCCCCTTCTTCTTACTTTTTTCTTTGGAAAATGGAAAATGTTGTTTGTGTTATTTCAAAAATAATCCCAAACATACACTAAATCTTAAAGAGGCAATTTTGCTTATGAATTATAAAAAATAATTTTTCTAGTTTTATTCTTTCAAATAACAAAGAAACAAACCACTCACATTAAATAAATAAATAAATTATACATTATCAATTATTCATCATCTATAAATAAAAAAACAATCATCTATTGAAGTTATATTTTCTCATAGTTATGTAATTTTTTACATTTAATATTTTTTATATGCATTAAATTAATTGTGTAAATTTCATCATTAGTTTTTTATATGTTAAAATGTTATTTATCATGTTTAATTAAATTAATAATTAATTATAATAATTATATTAATTTTTTAAGTTGTTAAAAAGTGAAGTATAAAAAAAATTGTAAAAATATAAGTTGTTTATAAATTCCCATCATTAAAACAAAATTTTCAAAAATATAATATGAATTACTTAAAAATGATATGACATGTTGATCTCATTTAAAATAAAATAAATATTAATAAATTACTACCATTATATAAATGAATTATTTCATTATTGTTCCAAAAAAAACTTCTATTATTTGTTGAAAATACCATGAATATGAAAATACTATAATAATAGTGGAATTGGTGGTACAGAATAAAACAAAATTATGGACCAACACCGTTGAAAAACTAGACTTCATTCTATTAGAACATCTAACAAGTTTTTTTTTTTTTCTTTTTAGAAATCGGAAAACTTCAAGCAAAGACAAAAATATCCGGAAACATCCATGAAAAATAAGTTTAAGTAAATGAATGTTACTGACAAATAACTTCATTAAGAAAAAACCAAAGAATGTCTCGATTTAATTGAGACCTTTTATAACTTACAAAAAAGTTTTGTTTCTGTTCAAAATTATACAAATTTTGCTAGATTATTTTGTAGGGTAAATTTTGTGTGACATTTTTAGTAGAATATATAAATATTACATTTATCCAATAATTTTATCTACACCCTTAAGACTTTACTTTTACTTTGTCCTTTTTGTTTAATCATTGTAAGAGTTTTTTCTTTTTCCCATCACACGTAATTTCTTCTTATCTTTTCATTGAATGTGGATAAGGTATAGACATGATCGGTTGTAGTTGTCATATTTCTTTTTTTCAATCATGCATGTCTTATTTGTTTGGACGAACTCATGGTAATAATCACTTTACTATTCTAACTTCCCAGTCCTTGAAAAACCAGTTTACTATTCATAATTTACCTATTACCATATGTTAAATTTTTGTCCAATAACAATTTATTGACATCCCTATAAGCAGTGACGAAACTTGACAAAAATAAAATAAAATTGGAGAGGCTAAAACAAAATTTGTATGAAAATCCATAGAAAATAATAGAATTTTCAATTATTTTTCAGCAACTTAAGAAAATAATCGTACTTTTACAAAAATCACAACACATGATTTGAAGAGGAAAAGTTGCAAGCAAAATCACAAAATTCATAAAAAGAAAAATAATGGCATGAAAAAATCCACTAGATAAAAATTACAAATTTAAATAATATTGTATAAACTTTCTTATACTAATGAGAATATAAAAGTAAAAAAAAATGATTATAAAAATGTAGAATAAATATCATAAAATAGTTATTAATCAATAAAATAGTACATGTGTGAAAAATATATTATTAATGTTTAAAACTTGTTACAAGTAATGTTGTTATAAAAAAACAAAAACTTAAGTGAATATTAATACAAATAAATTTTCTATCGAAAATTCAAAATAATAATAATAGTAATAATAAAATTAAAGGAAATGTATGGAGAAAAATTTTAACTGAAGTGTTATTTTAAAATTAATAACAATTGTTAAATAAAATTCAAAAATAATTTAAAAATATTATAGAAAACTTAATGAAAAAAATAAAATATAATTAATTATATATAATTTAAAAAACTATAAAAATCTTAAACTTGAACCAATTCCTATATATTGAATGGAAGTTGTTATCTTATTAGAGATTTTTTTAGGAATTTATTTAATTTTTTATTTAATTCATTTTTTTTATTTATCATATTGTTAATGAGTTTAAAGTTTATTATTTTAAAATAAATTATCAGTAATTAAAAGTAATCTTGTTCTATAATATAAATTATTTATCTTAAATTAAAAATATAATTTATATATTAAAATATAATTCTTATTTATATATATAATTTATTATATTAATAAATATTTAACTTGTAAAATACACGTGTCAAAAAACTAATTATTATTATATATATATATATATATCGAAAAAACTTGGGGTGGCCCTCCTCCACCCCTTATATTTATAAGCTTCGCAGTTATCTACAAGAATATATACTTGAGGTTGCTATGAAAATATAATATATATTTTTTCTAGTACCAACATAATTAGTGTCTTTGGTCCTCCAATGGTATATCAAGGTATTCCTATTAATTTCGATCATTTAAACCAACTATGAGACTAATTCTTGACAGGAACTTAGTCACATTTAAAGTTCTTCGCCTTTCCCTAAGAGTGCATTATATGGAGATCAAACTCGTGTCTTCTCATAAACTCAATGTGTGTTGCCAACTAAGCTACACTTATCGGATAGACAAGAATATAATTGAATATAGGTTTAATTGTATATTTTTTCACTTAAGTTTGAGGGTTTTATAAATTTTGTCACCCAATTTTGAATTTGCATATTTTGTGACTTTAAAAAAATCACATATTTTAGCATCTTAGTTGAGCATGTGACATAATTAGTTGACTATTAATATGACAAATTGATTGTCGATGTAAATTGATGATAAGACACAATGTATCACATTAATAATTAACTTATCACAACAATAATTTATTGATGGTGAATGCGCAAAATTATAAAATCTTGAGTGACAATATGTACAAATTTGAAAATAATGTGACAAAATTCACAAAATGTTAAATTTGGTAGAAAAATATGCAATTAAGTCTTAAATTTATTATTAGGGTTACTTTCTTACCTAAATTTTGTAAGTGCTCCCAAGGTGATGTGACATCTCCGTTGCTCCAATGTCCATTATTGAGGGGAGGGGGGAAGCGACACTTGTAAAGACACTCTAATGCTCAAGTTAGAGAGGAGTTTATGTGAAGAATTAGGTTAGAATAGTATGATACATGGTGTCGTGTATATATGTTTGATAGTGTTGCATGATATCTCAAAGATATCTCCTTGTGATTGTGTAGGGATATTGTCATTGATTAATAGAGATATTGTTCCAAATTAGCAAATATATAATGTTAGGTGATCACAGTATGCTAAGATATGACATTTATGGAAGATATTTGTGTTGCTAGCCATTAGGATTTTGATTGTGTTAGGGCTTTATTGCATGATGATAGACGAGGAGCCCGATGTGGGGGAGTTGGAGGAGGTCAGTTTGGCTTGGCCAAGGTAATATGGGTGAGCTAGGACGATTGGCTTGGCCTGGCCGAGTTGGGTAGTACATAATCCCCCAAGTTTCGAGCTCTTTAAAGGGGAAGGAGTTATGAATAGTATGGAAGTTGCTTTATTTCTTTGCTCATTTCATGGTAGGTTGTCTGGTTTAAAGAGATTTGTATTATAGGTTGTAACGTGTTGTGTATGTGTAAGTTGATAAACTCGTGATGGTAAAGGAGATTGGCTTTTGATCATAATGGTAAGGAGATCAACTTGTGATTGTAATGGTAAAGAGATCAACTTGTGATTGTAATGATAAAGTCAAATCATCTAAGTTAGGCGGCATAAAAGCTCCCTTAGCTCTAAGCTCGTTAGGGTATAGGAGTTGCAAGTGAGGTTGTTTCAAGCAAATGGGCATGTGAGAGTTAGGATTGGTCGATTTGGGAGATGCATAAAGCTCCTCAAGGCGAGAAAGTTGTGAGTCTTGGGGTTGTACTGCATTTAATGTGTGACTTGATGATTTTTCTTTGTGCATTAATGGGCAATAAATGCCATGCATCAAATTTTGTACTTGTATTAATATGGGGGGTTCCTATTTTCTTTTGTAGCTTTGGTGACATTCTTGGTTGGGTGGGTTTGTTCTTGTAATTTTTATTTGTTGCAAGTATTGGTGAGTTATGGTTGTTTCTGGGGATGGTTCCAAGTTAGAGGAAATCATGGCTTTGAAAGTAGAGGTCAATATGTTGTGGTTGGAGTTAGATGCTAGTCGGTCGAAGAAGGTGACATTAGCGGTGACTTGTGAACGTTTGGAGGCTGAGAGGAAGCATTTGGAGGCTAAAATGGGACATTTGGGCCAATTGAAGGATGGTTACAAGAGGAGGGTGGAGAAACTAACCATTGAGAAGAACGTTATTGTGCGGGTGTTTGACAAGTGTGTGGAGGATGTAGAGAAGTTGTTGTGAGATCAGTTTTTGATGATGTCACAGATAAGGCAATATATGTCTTGTTTGACAAAGTCAAAGGTTGACGTTGTCGAGAAGCATTGGCACGATTTCCAAAGAGCATTGCATTAAGTGGCTTAATTATTTCATTCATTTGCAATTTTAGTTCCTCTATTTTAAAGTAGAAGCATTTAATCACCTTAATTTTAAAAATATAAAACTTTGGTCCTCTCGTCAAATTGATATTTGTTAATCTTTAAATTTCAATATTTACTCGTACTTAAATGATATAATATTTAGTGACATGATATTTGGAGATAAAAAACATACAGATGAAATTTATTAATGAAATAAGTATCACTGAATTAAAATAGATACAAACAAAGATCTTTTGTAAGTTATTGTTTTTAATTTTTACCCATACATATAATATTATTAAATATCACATTTTTTAAGTGATGATACGACATCAAACAACATTAAAATTTAATAATTACTGAATATTAAATTAATGTTACGATCAAAATTCTATATTTTAAAAATAGGGATTAAATATTTCTATTTTAAGATATAAAGACTAAAACTAAAAAAAATAAAAAGATTAAAAGTATAATTTAACTAATAAAAAAGAATATTTATTATTGTAATTATAACAAAGTGTAACCTGACTTAACTTATTTCTACCCTTATTATTATCATTAGCGGGAAAAAGACACTCCGTGCCTGCATTGTATTAAAAGAAAAAAATAAATAAATAAGGAAAAGAATGAGAAGTTACTCATAAAAAATAGTAGTTATTAAAAAATAAACAAAAGATAAAATGGTTTATGTAAAAATGGAAACCAAAAGTAATTATTGAAAGTGGTATCCCTTTATATATTAGTATAGATTAGTATAGATACTAATTTTATTAACATATTCATATCAATTATATTAATATAATTATTATATTTATATTAGTTATATATATATATATATATATATATATGAGGAGGGTTCAAACGATATCGGT